GGCACAAGCGGTGAATCCAACGGCAGCGGTGACTCCAACGACAGTGGTGACTCCAACGCCAGTGGTGACTCCAACGACAGCGGCGACTCCAACAGCAGCGGTGACACCAGTGACAGCGGTGACACCAGCATATTAAAATAATTCATTTAAGAGGGCCCAAGCTGGAACTTAAGAATTACCATCAATATGGACATAGTTTTAAGTTGAAGCCAGAGAAAATTGATTCAGTGTTTCAAGCATATGCAAATTGATCCAACTGACTCGCCAAAATATTCTTGCTGTAGAAGACTTTCAGTAGCAAATAATGTTTCCTTTTGGAAAGCTAGGTGCTGATTCCTTGGCTAGAGAAAAAAAACTACCTGTCAACAATTACTTCGATTCAAACGTGCCTTAGACAATAAAAAGATAACATTAACATCAGGGTCCTTTCATACAAAAGAGCATCCTGATATATATATAGAATACCACATGCCAAGCATGAGCTCCGAAAACTAGTCAAGATCATACTTATAAACCAATGGGAGTTGTCTAACTGATAAAAGAATCATAAGATCTATTATAAAGCCGTCAAATAGAAGCATCTTAAAGAATCAATATTCAAGATATCAATATTCAAGATGACGAAGAAGGTAGGGCATATCTAAAGCCTTAAGTAATGGTTAAGAATACTTCTAATAATCGTCTACTAGTTAAATTACTAGTCTTTCATTCGTTATAGACATTGTGGCATTGTGGCAGGAGCAGAGTTAACTGAGTACATCCTCATAAAATCTATCATTATTAAATGCAAAGCTGTATTCTCTTCACACAAAAACTAAAATGGGATAATGCTAATAACTATTCTTAACTGATTGCGATGGAAAATATGTTCATGCTTTACGAAGATTGTGTGATGTAGTAATTGTGCTCATATAACCAGGAAACATGCAATAAATAGTGATAGATGAAGACAGCAGTTTCCATTTCATTTCTTCCATTGGTGTGTAAACTTACCTATATAAGTATTTCTTAGTACAAATGTATAAGGTAGAATGAGGAACCAAAACACCAGAAAAGAGAGGCACTGCTATCGTATTCTGCTTTGCCGTTATTCTCAAAGTCAGTGTATCTCTTTATTAACAATAGAAATTACAATGATCTCAATCTAAACACAATATATTTCTCTCATACTGTAGTATAGTATTTACTGACACTGCTGTCCCTGGTGCTGAATGACATTCACACTGACACTGCTGTCCCTGGTGCTGAATGACATTCACACTGACATGATGCTAAAAGCAATCCGCATAATCTGGACCCCAGTAATACACCGAAAATGAAAGAAACCCGTCAAACCCACTGCATGAGCTACAACTGTGAACACACGAAACAATTTATGCAAAAAAAGTTACCCTTCCGCGGAAGGATATCTCCTTCCTCGGAGGTATATAAAAAAAACGTTGTCAACAGGTGCCTTCGGCGATTATATAACGTTATATCACATCTACTCAAATTGGTTTTACACCACCAGTTGAAGAAACTAATTGTCTTCAACTTAAGTTGAATGTAGCCCGTTGGGTTGTGCATAGCAATTCGGTAGAACGTCTAATGCTTGTTGAAACAACTTGCCTGGTACTAAAGCTCCCTCAAGTTGGTTTTAAAATGTCGTATAATTTTTGCGCATTTATGCATTGACACACCGACTATAGTTTTCAAATGTTGTGTCAGAAAACATATTTTCTATGACTGACAAATTTCTGACCTTGACTTTCCAACGAAAACCGCGAAAAAAAGAACCCGGGTTCCGCGCAGGCGCAATACGTTCTGATAAATATAGAACCCTTAAGGTCAAAGTGCAAAGTTCAAAGTGGCGTGTGGCTGGGGGCGTTCCTATATTTTCCTGAGTGTTTGTCTGAGTTGTTTAGTTCTCGAAAAAGACGATAATTTGACGGAATGGCGACCGACAAGTATCTGACAGCGAGCCAGAAAGCCGTGGACTGTCTCCTGAAGACAATCTGCCAGCCAGACTTCAGGAAAGAACACAAGGACGTGGCCTTCTATTTCAAGTAAATAATTTTTGACAATTTTTTTTGCAGACTCAGCTCAGCTTACGACTTGTAGACATGGCGACTCGGTAACCCTTTGTATGATGATATTGGATAGTATTATTATAAAAAAGGTTTAAATACCGAGTAACACAATGCCACGGCTAGACTTCAATGGAAGCTTAGTAACTCATACAGTTATTAAGCTGGGTTAATTGTCTGAAACCCAGCAACCCAATGTCCAGCCATGAGGGAATGTCCTTGGTAACAGGAAATGGTCAGTGAGTCGAGGGGTCAGCTTTCCCAGAAAGTAGAAGGAATGAAAGTAATACTGATGACAGGATGCGACTCATAGAATGGGCAGTTCAGTATTGCCAAGGGAGGCAGTACCAGGTACGCCTCCCTCAAGGAAAGAGATATAAGGGGAAGGAGAGTGAAAGTGAATCACTTGTCCTGAGCCTGAGGCCACCAACACTGTGGCAGAGTATCAGTGGTCAGAGATTTCAGCAGAGTGCCAGTGGTCAGAGATTTCTGAGGATGCCTCCAACAACGAGAAGAAGAGCGGTCCAGCGCCTGGACGCACACAACCAGTCTCCAGAACGGACCACTGGCAGCAGACAGGACAAGACAAAAGACAAGAGCAAAGACAAGAGCAAAGACAAGGGGAAGAAGAACCAGCCTCAGGAAGAGGCTATTATGGAAGAGCTCCGTCGACTCAGGGAGGAGGTGGCTAAATACAAGGCCGCAGAGGAGCAGCAGAAGCAGCAGACGGGTCAACGGCAGGAACACCCGGAGATCAACCAGCAGCAGCAAGGGCACCTGGGGAACAACCAACAGCAGCAGCACCTGGGGAACAACCAGCTACAGCAGCAGCACCTGGGGAACAACGAACATCTCCAACACGGGCCACCAACCCAAGACCTGGCAGGAGCAGCAGCACTCATGGCACAAGGTGTAGTCACTCAGTTTTCTGGGGTAGGGGGTGCTAGTAATAACTCAAGCACAAGCAGCATTCTCCCTAAAGTATCTCTGGATGTAAAAAAGAAAATCTGGGCAAACCAGTACATCGCTTTGGAAACGCTGTTGCGTAATGATGACCCTGACGTAGAGGGAGGGAAAATGCTGCTCATGTTTGACCCCACAAACCCTAGCAATCCTATGTCTTTGAGTAAGAAACGCCCTCCAAAAATTGCTAGCTGGCAGCAGTGGATAGAGGCCTACCAAGTGCTTATGTTTACAATGCTAGAGAACAAGCCAGACAGAGCTAGGGAACTAGTCGGATATCAGTGCATCATAATGGAGGCAGCATCTAAATTCCCCCTCAACACTTGGATGAAATATGATGAGAGATTCAGAAAGTCTGCTGCTGAAGATCCCTCAAAACGATGGGATCAAATTGATGTACAACTCTGGGTGGTGTCCTTTACACTGCCACCCAGGGCTCTGTGTAATGTATGCCACTCACCTAGCCACTGGGCGAGAGACTGCCCAGCTAAATTGTTGAAATCTGGACCCAGCAGGGTCAAGCCAAAACCAGCTGCAGGTCGGTCAGACCAGGGAGCATTCTGTTTCGGCTTTAACTCACCTCGAGGATGCCGTATGGCTGACTGCAGGTTCAAACATGTGTGTAGTCAGTGTGAAGGAATCAGTCATGGCAAACAGAATTGCCCTGGGGTCCAAAAAGCAAACCAGTATTCATGATAACAATTGATGTTACAGGTCGTCCCATCCAAACAGACCCAAAGACCCCTGAGATGTGTAATTATGATACTAAGTTGGTGACACCAATTAGAATCCAAGCATTAGAAAATGAGTTATTGATGCACCCTGATAGGAAGTTAGTCTCTTACATAACAAATGGTTTTCGAGATGGTTTCACAACAGGATACACGGGGCCCAGAACTCCCCGAGCTTCTAGAAATTTGATATCTTGTAAAACAAACCCCGAGAGTGTAGAGGAAAACATTCGGAAAGAGCTTCAAAAAGGAAGACTGGTAGGACCTTTTGCATACCCACCATTTCCAAATTTCCAATACCACCCAATTGGGGTGGTGACCTAAAAACACAGCAGTGCCTGGAGGACCATTTATCACTTGTCGTACCCAGGAAGGGGAGAGCATCAATGACTTCATTTCAAAAACTGATTTCTCTGTGAAATATGTAACTATTGATGATGCTATTGCCATGCTGAAACGTCTGGGTAAAGGAGCCTTCATGGCTAAGACAGATATAAAGTCAGCATACAGAGTGATTCCACTACATAAAGATGAACATGAATTGTTTGGAATTTGCTGGAATAACAAGTATTTCTATGACAAATGCTTGCCCTTTGGCCTAAGGTCCGCGCCATTCATATTTAGCACTTTCTCGGATATGTTAGAATGGATCCTAAAGAACAACTACCATATAACTGAAGTCATCCACATCCTGGATGATTTTTTACTGGCTACTGCAGGGCCAAATGCCCATCCATGTAAACAAAAGCTTCAAACACTCTTACAAGTGTTTCATAACTTGGGGGTCCCGATAGCCGAGGAAAAAACAGAAGGGCCATCACAAGTCTTAGTCTTCATGGGAATTGAACTAGACTCAGTGACGCAGGAGGCACGGTTACCATCGGACAAACTCCAACGACTGAAGAGTAGTTTTCTAAACTGGGGGTCGCGAACTCGATGCACTTTGAAGGAACTACAGTCCTTGATAGGGGTGCTTAATTGGGTATGTGCCATCATCCCAGCAGGCCGAGCCTTCCTGCAACGTATGATAGCTCTTACAAGGGGGGTTAAACTACCAAGACACCGCATAAAATTGACATCAGGCTTTAGGAAGGACCTAGCGGTATGGGAGACCTTTGTACAAAAGTGGAATGGCAAATCTTTCTTTCTGAAGGAAGACTGGGAAAGTCGAGAGACGGTAGAGATATACACAGATGCATCGGGAACAGAAGGTTTTGGTGGTTTTTTCAGAGGGCAGTGGTTTAATGGTCCATGGCCAGAACAATACAAACTTACCAGTGGAA